TCCTGCCCGGCGGCTCTCATGGGGCAGGGCTGGATCGGCGGGGGACGAGCAACACAGCCGTCTTGCTCCCGGCTAACCCTGGGGGGGAAGCACTGGGGCCCACTTGGCTCTGCTGAGCGGGGGGGGGATTAGCTGCCAAGGGGGTGAAAGGCAGAGTTGGTGCCGTGTTGGTGGTGCCTGGCCTGGGGCTCCCCAAAGCTGTCCCTGTGGGCCACACCCTCGGGCACCCTCCCCAGCATCAGCCGCCTTACTGAGGCAGACGCCACTCCCGGCTAACCCTGGGGGGGAAGCACTGGGGCCCACTTGGCTCTGCTGAGCGGGGGGGGGATTAGCTGCCAAGGGGGTGAAAGGCAGAGTTGGTGCCGTGTTGGTGGTGCCTGGCCTGGGGCTCCCCAAAGCTGTCCCTGTGGGCCACACCCTCGGGCACCCTCCCCAGCATCAGCCGCCTTACTGAGGCAGACGCCAAGGGGTGTGTTGCGGTGCTAAGGGGCAGATTCCTGCCTTCGCGATCCTTATGAAAGGGACAGAGAATATCTTATTGCCCCGGTATAAATCCAGGGTGTGCCCACATCTGGAACGCTGCTGGCAGATGGAGTTGCCTCCTCTCCAAAAAGGTCTTGGCATTGGAAAAGGGCAACTAGAGTATTGAGGGGTTTGGACCGGCTGCCATGTGAGGAGAGATTACAAAGACTGGGACTTTTTAGCTCAGAAGAGTCGAAGAAGGGGGGATATGGTTGAGGTCTGTAAAATCATGACTAGTGTGGAGAAAGTGACTAAGGAAAGGTTATTTTCATGTTCCTGTCACAGAAGAACTAGGGGGTCACCATACGAAACAAATAGGCAGCAGGTTTAAAACAAACCAAAGGAAGGTTTTCTTCAGGCAGCGCACTGTCAACCTGTGGAACTCCTCGCCGGAGGATGTTGTGAAGACTAAGACTTTAACAGGGTTCAAAAAAGAGCTAGATAGGTTCATGGAGGTGAGGTCCATCAATGCTTATTAGCCAGGATGGATGGGAATGGTGGCCTAGCTTATTTGTCAGAAGCTGGGAGGTCGGCATGAGGATTCCCTGTTCTGTTCACACCCTCGGGGACACCTGGTGTTGGCCGCTATGGGCGAACCGTACGTTGGGCTGGGTGGGCCGTTGGTCTGACCCCGTCTGGCGGGTCTGCTGTTCTCTGGGGCTGTGCTGGCAGCAGGCAACCAGGAAGGTTCACGGAAGGCAGGCGCTGGCGTGGGCCCAGCTGGGAGAAACACTCTCCGGGGGAGATGGCGGGAGCGGCGCAGAGACGCAGCCTGTAACCACGTTCTCCGCTGCCGCTCGGCAGCTCTCACCCCCGTGCGAAAGGGGGGTCGGGGTCGCCTCGCTCTGGTTTCGCCAGGACCGGCCCACAGCGTTTTGGCAGCTGAGGCGGGGAGCTCAAAGGATGCGAAAAGTCTCAGTTCTGCCTCCGTCCCGTTCCACTCCCCTCGGGACTTCTCCGCTCCCGACACCGGCACCAGCAGCAGACACAGTTTTCTACACTCTGGGTCCTCGTGGCCCTCTACCTCCCCCCGCCCCAGTCTGGCCTCAGTTTGCCTCATGGTAGGGCCAGCCCTGGGTTTAGCCGTGTCTCCCTGGAACTCCAGTGAGGCGAGGGGTGGCTTGAATGCACCGTAGTGTGTTCCTGGGCGGACAAGCCCTGCGCCCCACGCTGCCCCGATGGAGATGTCAGCCCCAGAGGAGAATCTGGCCCCAGGGGGTTGGCTCCTCACTCGGTGGGGGTTTCCCTCGGTGTCCACAGCGCTGGGGTTGGCTGCTCGCTGCCCTGGCCCCAG